ATCACTCAAAAGGTGCAGGTACACAAGGCTGATCAGGCCTTGCTTCCCACTCTCACCCACAGCTTCATTGCGTGTGGTAGGATGAGAGTGCCACACGCCCCTGCTGCTTAAAGTTTTGCGTCCGTGCTCCAGGACGGTTCACACACACACACACACACTCGGTGCTGCAGTAGAGTGGTTAGAATAAGTTGGTACCAACTTTTTCTGTAGTCTGTTTTAGCAGGGGAACCCTCCCAACCAAAAAAGGGGTAAAAGAGAGGGCACCAACTGCTGGGGGACCTAGCATCACACACACACACACACACGCGCACAAAGAGACACGCTCCTTTTGAGCGCCTTAAAACGGAGACTCGCGCCAAGGACCCGCGGTGAACTCCCCGCTTTCGATTTCCCGAGTTCTCGCTGGCCTCCAGCACGGACTTGGCGAGCTCCTCGTCTCCTGCCCGTTTCAGCGGATGGCCGAGCTGGTTTTTAGATCCGCGACACGTTTCCGTTTCAGGTCCACAAACATCAAAACCCAACAGAGGCTCCCTTTTAAAGGAAAGTCGTCTTCCAGGGCCATTCAGTCAGGTTCCATGGGGATGGGAGGGTAACTTGTGGGCGAAATGGAAACCGAACCACGAAACACAACAAAAAACGGAGAAGCGAAGGGGCTATAGTGGGATAAATTCGGACACCCAACCACGAAACGCAACTAAAACAATCTAAACAGGTAACAGCAGGCCTGTGAGCCAAGGATAGATGTGGTTGGCTCTCTCACTCGCAGTAGCTGGAAATGGCAGGAACTCTGAGGCTTCCCAACCGTCCAAAGTAAAAAAAAAAAAAAACAAGCGCTTGTGAACCGCTGGCAAGTAGCGTATGGCTTGAGCATCAAAGCCAGTGGCTTCTCGAAAGGCAAATCAGCCACGTGTCAAAGAGAAAGACACCACCCCAATGGTTCAGTGACCCTGAAAGACAATGGAACCACCCAATCTTGAGAGCTGACCATCTTTCGAGGGGAAGACAGAGGAATGAGCTGCTCGCCAACCAGCTACCAAAAAAACAAAAAGCACAAGGTCTGGCAAATGGGGGCTCCCAACCAACCAGCCAACTCTTGATTGCGTCACAAGCGGGCCTATTGCACATGGCTGTGCTCAACACGGGCACTTTCTGCCCCCATCCCCGCGGCTATGTTGTCACTGCATTTCGTGGATTTTGTGGTCCACTTACAAGAAGCGAGCTTCCCGTAAACCACACAAGACCAACTCGTGATATCGCCAAAAAATCCTTGGCTCGCACTCTTCTCTCTTCCGCATGAGCGTTTCCCCAACTGTCCACACCAAAACATCTTTCTTCATGTACCGAACACCCGGAATCCGCCGATTCAGCCAGCAACGCAGCAACGCCGGCCGGCCCCGGCGCCTTTGGGTGAGCGGTGATCCTTGCTGTTGTGGCGTTCCACCAGCACCTGAAGCAAGTCTTGCCGAGTAAGAGGCTCGGCATCTGTCGTTGATTTAGATTTGTCTCAATATTCGAGGACAATGGTTTCACGGTTCCCATCAAACAAACCAAAGAAACGAACAAAGGGTTCCCCGAAGAAGAACAGAAACAAAAAGGGAAAGAGAAACACAATGGCAACCTCTTTTGCGGCCGTGGCTGCAAATACTGCCCAAAGGAGCAATGAAACTCAAAGGCTAACCTTTCAGGGTTTGAGGTGACACGATTCGATACTAAGAGGAATCCGTAAGTACGTATTAGACAAAGAAGGAAACCTGAGTATCCTTCCCACAATGTAGTCTTGCTTCACAAGTGAGGTCATTCTAAACACACACACACACACAGAGACACACAGACAAACACACACCCTGGGGAGGCCAATTGGAAGATATGGCCATGTGATAAATTCGGGGACCCAACAAATGGGTGGCTTCCTTTTGGTTTCCTCTAACAACACCCCAAACATCACACCCTCAACAAAATATCGTCCATCTGATCCAGCCGCCTACGCTTTTCATGGGTGCGAATGGAGCTGTCAGATGACCCAGCCAGGCAACGATACATTGCTTTTGAACCATGGATCCGGCATTGGCAGAATATTCGAATTCACCAAACTAACTTGCTGGTGTGATAGGTAGGGAATGACCTTCCGGTGCCCTTCAAGGAAACCATAGGCGATGGGTTTTAGGGGTCATTCCAACTCATCTGCCTATCGAACCAGCAAGATAAGGGCCCCCCCCAGAAAGCCCCAGTGTGGCGTCGCTATTTGCCCGCACGGACCAAGTGCGTTCGGTCACAGGTGTGTGAACCTCCACTTTGTGTAAATTGGGAAGGGATCCTCCATTGGAGAACCACCCCACTTCATTGAGCTCGGTGCACGGGCAGGACTTTTCCCACACTGCATACCTAAAAGGGATAAAGGGCCCGTTTAAGGGAACTCCTGCCTGAAATTCCCGAACGGATTGCCAAACAATGTGGTGATGGGTTTTAAACGAAATGGCCAAACGTGACATAGTATGAAGCTCTGCGGGCAAAACACATACATTAATACTCGTAATTAGCGTCAGTTGCTACTTCATGTTTTGCCCCATGAAAAATATGTTTGTTTTGACTATGGCCTATGGCATATATAGTGAACAAGCAACTGCACCAAACAACACACACACACACATAATTCTGGGAAATGTTCATTTTTCAGGGACCCCCCCCCGGGAGAAAAAAAACCAACAACACTTGGGTTCCTTTTGGTTCCCTTTAGAACCCCCCGCCCAAAACCCCAGGGCGCCCTCCAAAGCCACCCTGGCACCCGCCCGGCATCCGCGAACCGCCGAGTCGACTCCGCCTGCCCGGCGAAGCGGGCGGGGTCGATGGCGCCCAAAGCGCCCAGGACTTGGCCGCAGAGCAGCTGGTTGCCTGAGCCGAAGGCGACCTGGCTTCCTCTCGAGAACCCGTTTTGGGGGTAGGAAACCATCAGGAAGCCCTAAGAAAAATCCAATACAGGAAGAGGGCTTTGAGGGACCTCACACCACATGTCCTCCAGATTTGAGAGGATAGAACAAGGGTACCCGTTTTTTGTTGTTCCCTTTTCTGTAGTCTATTTTAGGGGAACTCCTCCCGCAAAAAAGGGCAAACGGGCACTACTGGGGGACCTAGTAAACAACAGAAACCACTTGCGAAATACTCAGATGCCCAGTGGATGTCCATGGGAAAAATGGGCAGCCTTTTCGGGTTGGTGCAACTGCAAATAGAAACAGGAAATCCAACTTGGGCATTTGGCCAATGAAGACATTGGAGCCCCTTATGATACGTGGAATATCCAACTTGATGTGTGTGTTCCGGCATTGGAAAAGCCCGGGAAAAAAAGGGCAAATTAACTGGCCAACTCCTTCATGGGCCCCGCAAAACCAAGGGCCTCACCAGGGCGCAGTGCACCTAGTCCCAGTGGCGCAGTAGATTCCGCCCTTTGTCCAACTTGTGTTTTTGGAGAAGAGTCCCCCCTTCTCACTGGCTGAGTGGATGGCCCAAAAAAAGTCCAAACTTTATATTTACCACTAAAATGGTGTTTCCAAAAAGTTTAAAGTTCATGAACCCAGGAAGTGAGCGCCTTTGTGTCACCACAAACGAAGATGCCCGGAAATCCTCTGGGCGTCTGGGTCGTTAAGCCAGTGGGTCCCCTCTTTTGCTGGTGGGTCATTTGGGTTTCATAGCTGGACAGGACCTGCATCCCTGCTTTCCGAAGTGAGACCAAGTGTCACTTTGGGCGGTTCAAAAAGGGAAAACTTGACGGGCTTCTGTTGGACGATCCCGTTTCAACGTAGCGAGCAACTGGTTGGCTCCCTTGACTTACAAGTTGGCTGAACCACCGGGCTAGTTGTCCCAACGACGCGGGGTGTTTGGTTTAGATCTGCAAGAAGGCACACCAACCAAAAACACGTGGGCTCAAAATCAACCAGGGGTTACGCAGGTGGTGGTCCATGTTTCCACTTACCAGGGCGACCCATTTTGGTACCGGTTTTTTGAGCCACAGCAATGTGTGTTTTCAAAAGGCCCAACTCAGGTGAAAAGGTTGCTCTTTCAACCTTTTCGGGCCACGCAAGGAGCAAACAAAAACGAGCAGTGCAAGCAGTTTGCCTGCTGAACACGAGAAGAATTAATCATGTGTTTGTTCAATAACCAAGCCCTTTTTGTCTGGGTGCTTGATGGTTTGCTAGAAGGAAAGGACCCCGAACCGAATGGGGACGTTACCACTAGAACCTTGCCGGAACTGCCGGACAAACTGGACCCTGACTGAAAGGAATCGGGAGTTAACCTCAGGAAGGTCGTCGCTTTGCTTGATTTAGAAGGGGGTTTCTTCACTTGTGGGAGAAATACTTCCTGATTCTGCTGGGTTGATATACCTGGGTCTCATTGAGAAACAAGCTATAGGAGAATCTGCTGGAATTTCGACCAACACGGCCAATTTCCAGGTGTTCGGCGTTGATTTCTTCCATCTCCCCCCCACTCAGTGGGAGACGGGCTAGATCTCAAATTTGGCTCGAGAAAAGCCTTCGAATCGCAGGGCTTGTTGTTCTTTCTTGTTTTGGGGGGGGCGGGGAAATAGCAAACACCCTTTTTGCGTTGGTTTGAAGGAAGGCCGCAAATTCAAAGCACCCGCTCAAAGCACAATCAACCCTAGCATCAAAGCACCCTAACCATGCCTACCCAACCCAAACGAAGAATTAAAAGGGCGGCCGCAGCAACTTCTGCTTGCCTTCTAGGTCGCAGAGTGGAGAGCTTAGAATAAGTTGGTGCCAACTGTTTTGTTCTGTAGTCTATTTTAGTAGACTAAACCCTCCCAGCCAAAAAAGAAACTAAGAGAGGGCACCAGCTGGGGGACCTATGCCTGAACCTTCACGTGGCTCGAGCCAGGCTCCAGCTCAGAGCGCCCCAGCCTGGAGAGGCCGAGGATTCCAGGAGAAACCTCAGATCTCGCAAGCTTCTGGATCGACTCCCCACATCTTGAAGGGGATCCTGGGTTGATGCGAGGGGGGTGAACATGTGTGGATGATTGTGAAAATTCTAGGGATTGATTCCTTGTCCATTCTTTTCAGCCACCCTTCTTTTCAAACACCGATCGCCAGTTCCCCTGGTTTTATTTGTTGTGGTGTTCTAGAAAGAAGGATCGCTGGAAAGAATGGGGAAGTGACCCCTAGCGTGATGGTTTTCTTTCCCGCCCTCTCCTCACAATTGAACGTCTTGTACCATTTGTACCCTTCCGGAAAGCGCGGATGTGGATTTTGGGGTTCCACAAATGATAATTACAGCTATTGACAGGGGGCGTTTCCAACTCACTCTCCCCAAACATTTGGAAGCATCGCTGCAAAATACTTCAGGGACCTGTGGGTTCCGTTTCCATGTGGGTGGTATCCACCCATTGAGGGAGATTCTCACTGAGAGTCAGAGCCCGAGCAGGATCTATTCGAAGAGGCTCGTGGCTTCCCCCTTACAGCCTTCTCAAAAGAAATTGAGAGGCAGCTCAGCTTGTCCAGGAGTGGACGCTGTTACAACAGAGGCTTTAGCAAAAACGGGCACCCCTTTGTTCGCGGCACTTGCCTTAAAGGGACACCCAAACAAGGGGACCTGATTCGAGGGAAAGGGCAAAAAGGGGCACCTGATTCAAGGCCATCTGTGGGTGCCTTTTCCGGGGGAACCCCCCAAATGATGTTATTCTTGTATTCAACACTACCCTCAAAACAGACACCCTGAAATGGAAAAGCAAATGCAAACCAGAAACAATTTGATGTGGCGCAAGTCTCACTCCAAAGAGAATCCTTCACTTGGCCCCAACCAGGTTGAATGCGGGCTCGGCATCTCATTCAAAAAGTGCCACTTCAAAAAAACTGCCCCTTACACAAAACCACAATCCCAGCAAAAGCTATGAACAGCTAGGAAAAGCTCAATGTAAACAAGAAAAACTGAGAATATCTAAGAAACACATACCCAGCAAAACTCAGTGGACATAATCTCACATTCGAGCCTGTTCGACAAGACTGTAGGGCAAACCCGTTGTTGCAAGCCTTGGTGTCTGGAGTTTCAACCTGCCTTTACCAACTGGGTAAAACTGGGAACACGCAATGAGGCTTCTAGACCTTCACTGCGCCAAGTTCTCTTTCAGCCCTTGTCATCCCACAGCTTCCGCGCAACACACCGATTTCATGCAGCCCCACTCTTCTCGCACCAAAAACACGCCCACACACAACAAACAACAACGCAACCAGCCACACAAACAACAACAAGTTACCAACAATGACGTTTTTTCCCACAGATTTCCATGAAGATTCTGGCCATGCTCTCAATCTGATCATTGTGGGATTTATGTAGCCTTGGACAGCTGTGAAAAGAACGGTGCTAGACAGGGGGTCAAACTAAAAACACGAATCCACTTTTGGTTTCGCTTTGGGTAGATTAAACATAATGCTTGGATTGGCCAAAATTGCATCGTGGGCTATTCAGCACCCCATCGACTGCTTAACGGGTACTCTGGACATGGGAAAAAGCAGTTGGGGGGTGCTGGTTAGCAAACAATGACCGGAGGGAGGGGAACCATCAGGTAACCCCTAGTTGCTGGCTTGGATAACCAATCCAAACCACCAAACCACCAATCCAATCCAAACATTAGAGGGAAGCTAAACATGGGGCACAATTGCTCTTCGTTCCCAAAAAGAAGTCCACCACCCCACCAAACCGCGCCACAAAGTTAAACCGCCTAGGTCCTCCAGATTTGAGAGCTTAGAATAAGTTGGCACCCACTTTTTTCTGCAATCTATTTTACTAGGGGAACCCAAAACCCAACCCAAAAAAAAGGTTAAAGAGAGGGCACCCAGCTGGGGGACTTAGTTCTTCTTTGTTCCCAAAAAGAAGTCCAACACCCCACCACCAAACCGCCCCACCACCAAACCGCCCCACCACCAAACCGCATCTTCGGCTCGATTCGCCGGCGCCATCCGGGGCTGGCGCTTCAGCACGGCGCGCATGAGCCGTGTCAGGGTGGCGCCCGGCAGCTGCGCAATCGGGTTCGGCGACGCCTGAAATTGCTGGCAGTGCCCGCTACATGGGACTGTCGCTTATTTATTTATCTATTTTATTTTTTGGGGGGGAGGGGTGGGGTGGGGGGGGGGTGTTTGTGCCTGTCTTTTTGTTCATTGTTGTTGTTGTTGTTGTTGTTGTTGTTGTTGTTGTTGTTGTTGTTGTTGTTGTTGTTGTTGTTGTTGTTGTTGTTGTTGTTGTTGTTGTTGTTGTTGTTGTTGTTGTTGTTGTTGTTGTTGTTGTTGTTGTTGTTGTTGTTGTTGTTGTTGTTGTTGTTGTTGTTGTTGTTGTTGTTGTTGTTGTTGTTGTTGTTGTTGTTGTTGTTGTTGTTGTTGTTGTTGTTGTTGTTGTTGTTGTTGTTGTTGTTGTTGTTGTTGTTGTTGTTGTTGTTGTTGTTGTTGTTGTTGTTGTTGTTGTTGTTGTTGTTGTTGTTGTTGTTGTTGTTGTTGTTGTTGTTGTTGTTGTTGTTGTTGTTGTTGTTGTTGTTGTTGTTGTTGTTGTTGTTGTTGTTGTTGTTGTTGTTGTTGTTGTTGTTGTTGTTGTTGTTGTTGTTGTTGTTGTTGTTGTTGTTGTTGTTGTTGTTGTTGTTGTTGTTGTTGTTGTTGTTGTTGTTGTTGTTGTTGTTGTTGTTGTTGTTGTTGTTGTTGTGTTGTTGTAGTTGTTGTTGTTGTTGTTGTTGTTGTTGTTGTTGTTGTTGTTGTTGTTGTTGTTGTTGTTGTTGTTGTTGTTGTTGTTGTTGTTGTTGTTGTTGTTGTTGTTGTTGTTGTGTGTTTGTTGTTGTTGTTGTTGTTGTTGTTGTTGTTGTTGTTGTTGTTGTTGTTGTTGTTGTTGTTGTTGTTGTTGTTGTTGTTGTTGTTGTTTATTGTTCTTGTTTTTTTGGGGGGCTTCTATATTCTGGGTCTGTTTTTGTCATTGTGGTTGCTTCTTGTCCTTTTCATTTTTTTGGTGGGGGGGATCGCCTTCTATATGGGTATGTCTTACTTCCTTCCTTCTTGCTTTCTTCTTCTTTTGGGAGGGGGGGGGGGGAGTGGCCTGCTATATGGGTCTGTGTTTTTTTCATTGTTGTTGTTTTTTGTTTTTTTGGGGGGAGGGGGGGAAGCGGGGGTGCAGCTTGTTTTGTGGTCTTAAGGGAAACAATGAGGACAACTTCTGTTGTGCGAGGGGGGGGGGGGAGGGTGAAGAAGCAACCATGGTCCAAGCCTAGATCATATGAGTCAAAGAACGTGTGGGTATGTTTTTTTGTTTTGTTTTTTGAGTTGTACCCGTTGTTTGGTTTTGAACGGAAACCAAAAGGAACACCACCGCTTTTGGAGGGTAACATAAAAACAGACAGACCCATTGAGCTTCTGCTTAAAAAACACACACACACAGCTCGCAGTTGCCCAAGCCAGGAAATAAAAGGTGATCACCGTTTGAGGCCAGGACTAAAAATGGGTACCAAAATCGGATCTTATTAAAAGGCAACCACTACATTCAAACATGATGAATATGCCATGTCTTAAATCAAGTGAAATTGACTGGCGTTGATTCGTTGGACCAAAATTGATTACATCTGTCGAGCATCGACCCTTCGACACTGGCGGCTGAAGATTGGCCCTTTTTGGGGGGTTGGTGAATCTGAGTAACACCACCAAACCAAAAGGGGTCGAGCACACTGTGCATTGCAACAAATGTGGTTGGCATACCGAACAAGATTGCGCGTTGCCACAAGTTGCAACAAACAAAACTGAAGTCAAGTTCCCCAATACCTTCGGGTGAGCTTGTCATAGAAAAAGGGCAGACGAAAGGAACACAATCAAGAGAAGCACACATCGACACATTAAGCCAGGCATACCGCTAAGAAGTAGGTCAGACTCCAGTTGCGACAATGCCAGCTTTTTGGCACCTCCACAGCCAGAGAAAACCAAAGGTCAAAAGCTCGAGTCGCAATTCAGGTGCCAAATTCAAGAGGATGGGCTTCCAGGGCCCTCTGGTGCACACTACTGGTTGGAAAGAGCTGCCTGAGACAGATGGGCCAATGGGAATTGCTTTTGGCCACGCCCTGTTGTCAACAGGAAGCTTCCATTTCAGAGAGCTTCCAAGCCTAGGAACGCGAGTTATGTGCACAGGAAAAACCTGAAAACTGAACATGGGTCGACAAGGAATTGGGTAAAAATGTAGCCAAACTCAGGCAGGCAGCTGAGCTAAGGTGCGAAACCTTTGCTTTGTAGGGACCCAAAGGTCACACACTGACTGGTGGCCGCTTGTTCAACGACTGGATCCGTCTAAACTGGTTGGAGCGAGTACAGCAAAAACATGACATCCGTGGTTTGGTTCCAATTGTTGGAACACCCTCAAAATTGGTCAGCGACCAAATGAATCCCCATTCTTATCCACCAAATGCTCCAAACAAACTTCACCCCTCGATGGTTTTAAACCCCGGAGGTCAAATTGAGCATCCCGTTTCGTGGTTTGAACTACGTAGTGGCTTGGAGGTTGCCCCAAGAAACAGGGCTTATGGCTTGCGAAACCCACCCAGCCAGATCCCGGGCGACTTCAGTGGATATGCCAAACAAAGCGAGCCCTTTGGTGTGCCCCTCAAATGTCTTCCCAAGGCACCTGCCCGGATCCCGCAGGTAGATCGCCAATCGCTGATTGACCCTCACAGCTGTCACTGGGGAATAGCGTGTGAACTCTAGCTACTGGGGGAAGGGGGAAGCTTTCCCTGGACCAACCAAGGGACACGGTAGAGCCTATTTTGCAAGACAAACAAAAACAAAACAAAACAACTCCAAAGAGTTGGTTGCGCGATCGCCCCGCAGTTGTTTAAGTGTCCACCATACCGCCCCCTCCCTTGGCCCACCCAAACTGTCGGTTTGCCGCTAAAATGGATGTGGCTCAAACTTAACCTGCCGGGGTTACGCAGGTTTTGGTCCATGTGTCCGCTTGCCAGGGCTCCATTCTGACGGTTTTTCGAGCCACAGCCCAATGATCTTCAGCTTCAAGTCCAGGGAAACGCGCGCCGATCCGCGCGCCGATCCGCGCCTGGCGCTGCTGCGTGAGGAGGTGCTGCAGGCCTTCGAGGATGGCCCGCCGCACCGCCTCCGAATGGGCGAGCCGAGATCTGCGGCCAATTCGTCTAGACCCTCTGGCAACCCCCCCCCCACCCCCCGGCGGGACGAAACAAACAGGAACTAAAACAGCCAAACAAAAAGCATGACACTACGCCAACCCAGACACCCCCTCTCCAAAATAATGAACGACCAAACAACAACGATAACAAACAACTCGAGACCAACGCCAGGGGCAACACACACACGCCCGCGGGGCTTGGTCGCTCCAGAAGTGGCCTGTCTGTGTGTTTTTTGCTGTCACCATAGGATGGCCTGACGGCCTGACTCTGCAAAATAGCTCGACTGCCACTTCACCGTCAAGGAGGGGTCGGGATGGGCTTCACAGCATTCATTCCTTGCCAACTAGTCGTACACGGGCGTCTCAAAAAATGGCCGGCTGATGCACACCGCAGTTCACCACCATAGGCATCTTAAAGCTGTGGACTCGCACAGCAGATCGTCCATGTTTCGCTTCTGCAAGCGTTTTGGATTAAGGAAGATGCCGGTCTTGCACAACGTTTCAAACCACTCCTGTTTCGGACACCACGAGGTTGTTACGACCACGCTTCGAACTTGTTCAAAGGTCTTGGCAGTGGATGCGCATGTCAACCGACTTCAATCCCGAGCTCACTGATTCGGGTTCCAGCGGTTCCCGTGAAGAGGTTCTTTGCTTGGGCCTTCCCTTCTAATTGAGCAGCGAGGAAACGTTTTGTGGGTCCTTTAGGGACATCTCCAAACAAAGTCACACCTGTATACCCCAAGAAAGACTGCTACTATTGCTCGGCATGGCTTTCGCATGCGTTCTCATGCGTTCTCTCGTTTTACCCCCCCCCTTTTTTGCCGCGGATCGATCGGTGGAATCGCTGAAGGGTGCAGCTGGCATCGGACCCTTCGGTCCGCCTGGTGGGGTGCGGTCTCCATGTGTTTGGCCATCTCCTCGAAGCGCTGCGAGCCACTCTTGGCGCCCAGCATCTGACGAGCCAGCGAGCGAGCGGGGGAAAAAATAAATAGGAAAAAAACACGGCCACCAAGGGAGGGCTCGGCTTCCGGGTTTGAGGGTTGAAAGGTTTTGAAGACCTGAGGGTTTGAGGGTTGAAAGGTGTTGAAGGCCTAAGGGTTTGAGGGTTTGAGGGCTTGAGGGTTTAAGGTCTAACGGTTTAAGGGAATAAGAAGGGTTATTAAAACTCTTCTGAAAACCTTTTCTGCCGGGGCCTGAATGAAATTCGCCAGGGCAAACCCCAGCTTTTAGTCTTTCCAGTTCCCACGCCTGAGGGAGTTGGGGGGGATCTTCAAAGCTTTCAGGAACTGGGCGCCCCATACCCCAGCTGCCATGAGATCGAAGCTCTGGTGGAAATGTTTGGATGTTCCATTGAACCCGTCAAGATTACACGTTCTTCTCAGGTCAGTCCGGGTCGGTCTCGCTCGCTCATGTGTTTGCTTGGCTTCTTATTGCCAACCAAAGCTTGAATCGACTCAATCCTTTGTCTCCCAAATTGGTCCAAAGTTTCTCCATCTTTATCCCCTCAATGGTTTGGAACCCAAAATGGGAGGGGGCCAAGCGCCTAAGAGGAGAACCCTCCAAACCTGATTTGTTATCGGCTTGCATGGGGTGGCAATCCTAAGCTTAGCATGTCATTTCTCGAGCCATGCTTCGCCTCCTGGTACTTTGAACTTTGTCTTGGCGTTCCTAAGGGTCCAAGCAGGAAGAAAAGAAAGTCCTGGGTTTCATTTGCTTAAGAATGTGTGTTGTTTTCACCTCTTGGCTTCAAAAGGAAACTATGACAACTGGACATGTTTGTTTCTTTGTTTCCAGGGGCGGTGCACCCAAGACCTTTATACGCTGATTCGGTGACGAACAATGGCTCAAGGTCCAGCTCCCAACAACTCTTTCAGCCATCAACCGACCGTCAGTTGTTCCATGCCCGAGAGACACGTCTCTGGGCATTGGGACGCTGCACTGCCGAGAACCAGCAAGTAAACACCCAAAACATAGATGCCTCTATGCTACACACACACACACACGCTTCTCAGTTTTTTTCTGGCAAATTCAAAACACATACCCACGGACAAAACCATTGGCTGTATTATGTCACATCCTCATGCTGGCTTCTGCTTCCAAGGATATCTTGTTAATGATTGCTAGAAATCTTTGCCTGGCCATCTGTGACGCTGACCCATACCGCCACACCTCCCCCACTACCCAACTGGGAAAAAGAACAAAAAATGTAATCACTGAACAAACAACCAACCAGACAGGCAGGAAGGCAGACACAGACAAGATGAGATAAATAAGAAATAAACGCACAACATAAATTCAGGGAACCCTAAGTTGGTGGTGTGGATTGGTGGTTTAATTAGGGATTTGAACCCTGGCTTTTGAAGAGGGTTAATGAGAAACCCCTCCTCAACCACCAAACCACCAATCAGAGGGAAGCTTTTACATGTAGAACAAACACAAACCATCAAACCAACAATCCAACGAACCAACATACATATAAGCAAGCAAGCAGGCAAGCAACAAACAAGACATGCACACACAATAACACACAGAACAAACAGAACAAACATAACAAACAAACAGGCGGACTGACAGAGAAACAGACAAACACAAAAACAGGCAGGCAGGAAGGCAGACGGAGCGATAGGCAAAGACACACCATAAACAGAAAAACACGCACCCACAAACACACAAACACACAAACACACAAACACACAAACACACAAACACACAAACACACAAACACACAACCACAAACAAACAAACAAACAAACAATCAAACGAACGAACGAACAAAAAAAAAAACAAAAAACAAACGAACATACCCAACCCAACCCAACCAAACCAACCCAAACCAGCCAACAAACACAGACACACAAACCAACAAACAAACAAACACACAAACAATCAAACAAACAAACAAACAAACAAACAAACAAACAAGCAAGCAAACAAACAAACAAACAAACAAACCCACAAACAATCAAGACAACACCACACACTGGTTAGTATATGTCCGCACCTTCTCCACCTGATGTCTAGTGCCTTGCAGGCTTTGCGGCAGCGGCGGCAGGGACAGCAGCACCTCCAACAACACACAGTTTGGTTAAACCTGCTGGTGCTCAGCAGGAAATGAGGCAATGAGCCCTGTAAACCATGCCTTGCAGTTTCGTCTTAAGCTTCATTCCCTCTTTCCCTACTGAGCAAATTAGAGGCACAGTTTCTTCCTGCCGGCTTGGCACCTGCATTCCTCTAGGAACCGGGTTTTTGTCAGGTGCCATGGCAACGTGGGAGCGAGGGTAGCCATTCCCTTGACCCAAAGGAAGTTGTGTCATCTATCTTCACCCAACCGCAACCGTTCTTACCTGGCCACAAAGGCCCTGCATTGTTGGGGCTTCAAAGGCGGGTGTGGGATCCCTTGTCAAAATAGGAGCACATTTCAAACACTTTACTCCAATCATGGCTAACACTACGTATGTTCAAGATATGCAACAACTCCCAGCACCTCCTAACAACTGTTTTGGGACAGTACTTGCGATTTTCGACATGGGAAACGGCAGTTGTTGGGACCCGGGTGCTTCGAATCATCTTTTGAGGTATCCTTGTTAGGGGTAGTTTTAGGTTCTCATTCGGTCCATTGATAGATTCGTTTTCAGGAGCTCAACAACCTGTGCCCAAAACTCCTTGCAACTCAATGGCCCGGCCTTCTCTTGTTGCCTTTGGTGTGGTCTCGGGACACCCGTGGAACACTTCACCCGTGAAAGGGGAGGTCCAGAAACCGGAAACCGCTCGTTCTGCCTTGGAGCAGAGTTTGTGGAGGACTTTCCGAGTGGTTTGTCGGGCCCCAGTCTATCCGGATCCGGGGGGTATGCCTTGGAAGCACGTCCAGCAAGAGAAGCAAGCTACTCCGGTCACGGGCAGTCCATGAGCAAACCATGCATTTGTGGCTCTTGCAGAAAAGGCCCTAGCATAACCTTTGAAGGGTATATCAGGTGTATCCTTCTTTCTTGGTTACGAAGTGTGTATTGAGTACCTGTTAAACGTCGATGCAAGCTCACATGAGAACGCGCTTTGTCACCTCGGGTAGCAGAAACCAGGCTAGGTTGGCTAGGTTGCAGCCCGAAACCGGCCCAGAGCTTAAATCCAACCTGTTCAAGGTATCAAGAAGTATGCATGGGCCTGCTGTGAGTGTATCCCAAGGTGCCTTGGATTGAATGTTGCAACCAGCCATGCCGAAACACATTTCAAACAGGGGAACAAGATGGAAAGGGGGTGGGAACTCGGGAAAGTCTGGTAGGCTGCCAGATCAAATACTAGCCCCACTAGGCTGATCCCGTTTGCGAGACGTCGACCCGCCCACGTGCTTGCTTCTCAGTTCCTGAGAGGATGGCCAAACAACCAGTAAACTCGCCTCCCCAACAAGCATCGAAGTGTAGCAGCTCGAGAACCACAAAAGGAAGACCCGTCAAAAATCCAATCCCATGAAGTATCGGGAGTTTTGCACATACTTGAGTCCCGGCAAAAGCAACGCCAACTGAAGGTTGGGGTTTGGGACATATTCAGGAATTTCTCCCAAAAATTCAATCATCAGGCGAGCAACCCCTCCGCCTCTGGAGTGGCCTTCGCCTCCAGCACCAAGCTGGAGACCAGCTCCAGCGACTCCTTCGAAGCCCGAGGGGAAAATTTGTTTGTCTCGTCTTTCTGGTTGAGGGGTTTCCCGAAAAGAAGGGAAGTCAACGCCCGGTTTATAAAGGAAAACCATTTAAAAATTGGTGGGTTTCAATGTCTCTTGGTTTCAAAGGCACGCCTTTTAGGGAAATGCTCTCTTTTGCGAACCCTCAAGCTTCGGGTCGGGAGTTCAGAGTGCCCGCTGTTGGCGGACAGGTTCGGGAAGGCTCCTTTTTTTTTAAACCTGGGCGTGATTTTGGCGAGAATAATTACCGAAATCGGCGGAACACGTTTTTGGGTGACCTGCGGCCTCCATTTCCCTTTATTTTTTTGGGGGGGCTTGGCTCTCCTGGGGCGCCTACCCGGCGAGGCCTCTCGACTCGCGACGGAGCTCCTGGTGCGGTTTGCCCAGGTCCAACTCTTTCCTTGGCGAGAACTTGGAGATGTTGGGGGGACTGGGGAAGGCTGCCAGAAAGACTGAACTAAACTAGGTCCTCCAGATTTGAGAGGTTAGAATAAGGATACCCTTTTGTTTCTGTAGTCTATGAAAGTAGGGGAACCCTCCCCCAAGAAAAAGGGTAAGAGGGCACTACTGGGGGACCTAGTAAATCAAAAGCAGGAACCTTTCCTGGAATATTGAAAGGGACATCACAAGGAAACCAAAACAATTGCATGGGTCTCCACGAACGCTGATTGAAATGGGTGAAGCACCTTGACGAGTGAGCTCGGAACTGCTTGCTTTACTGACATATAACATTTGAAGTGACATGTATCCTAACTTTCCCTCTCTCCCTCTCTCTAAACCCACTGCACTGTATGTTCAAGACTTTCCCCAACCCAACTAAGCAGGCGTTTTCCCCATGGCAGACGTGGGTTACGTCACCATTGAGAATCACTTAAGTAGCCTTCATATCAATGTGTTTACCTAATTCCCAAGCCTGCCAAACATCAACCGGGCCCTGCTTCATCAACCGCCGGACATGAGTACGGTTGCAGAACTTCCAACCACAGGTCAGCGCGCCCGAAACGGATTGACTTTTGCTTCTACCAAAAAGATCATAAAGGTGTGTCTTTGTTTAGAATCATGGTTGTCCTTTTGGTTTCCCTTAAACAACGTTCCACTACCTGGCTTGGGGAATGCAGGTGCAAGTGCTCTACGCTGGTCAGAGAACAGGTTGGTTCGAACGATATGGCTCAAGACCTCTCCCGGTTTACAGTTTGGATAAGCCTTTCTGGCTAGCCATATCAACTCATTCTTTGTATGCTTGGGATTTCTAGTAACCTGTTTGGTTCTTCTGACCACACATACGGGGTGTCTATTTGGAGCTGCTACCCCTTGTTTGGTCTATCTAAACCTGTTTTTTTTGGAGGGCTTGGCTTTTCTTGTTGCTATAGGGACACCAACAGGACAACCGAAGCCATTTTCCGTCTCCAAAACCAATGATCCACGCCCATGGGCAGAGACATGGTCGACTGAAATGGAGACCCTTCCTAACACGACATTTGTGGGAGAATATCTGGAAGATCATGTTCCTCTTGCAGAACCCCTTGAGGTGCCATGGTCGTGGAGGGAGGGTAGATGTTTTCAGAGTTTCGACCGGACTTGTTGACAAAGCAACTGAAACCAAAGCGTCTGCGCGCTTCAGACTCCCTGTTGACTGGCAACGCTAGGCTCAGGGAATCAAGTGCTACCCGCTGAGGATAAACAACAACAGCAACAGCAGCCGAGAAATCAACCATCCCTACAAACAGTAAGATGTCATACACGCATCTGTAGACCCCGCCCCATAGACCCTTGAATAGACCTGCCACGCCAAATACAAAAACAAGTCGACCCATACCCACAGCAGATCCGCCAAATAATCAGCTTGGATTGGTGGTTTGGGGAATTGAACCACTGCTTCTTTTACAGGATAAGAACAGGAAGCTACCCCAAAACACCACCAAACCACCGCGGGAGGCTCCAAATCACCAAACAATTAGGAAAGCTGAAGTAACTCCCCTGCAAAAACAACCAAATCAGTTTACTGGGGCTCTCAGATCGATCGACCCCATTGCCGAACCCAATTTACGACCGTGAAACTACTCCAAGTAGACGCTGACGACTACCCCAAGCAAACCCGCCCCCCCAAGTAGACCTGAGGGAACCCCCTCTAAGCAATACCCACCCATCCCCCTGTTCTTAGCATTGTGACCTGATGTCGCCCTGACAACGGCCACAAATCCAGGAATTCATAAAAACTCAAAACAAATCAAAAAACAAACGCAATCCAACAAACTCAATCTGGAAAACTCCCAACTTGGAAAGACTCAGGAAAAACTAAAAAACAACTCATCCCCCCAATTGAGTTTGAGGCTGAGTCGGGAGCTGAGTTTTTGTTTCTGTTTTCTTGCAGAAAACTGCAGATTTCCTCCCCAACCAACCCCCTCATCACAATAATAAAAAACAAGAAAAACAACTCAAAAACACTCAGAGACAGCTCAGTCAAATCTCAGCTCCCGATTCAGCCTCAAACCCTCAAACTCAAGCGGGGGGGAGGGGGGGGATCGAGTTCAAGGCTCAGTTTTGCTGAGTTTGTTTGTTTTTCCCGAGTCTTCCCAGGTTGAGAGTTTCCTGATTTAGTTTTCGGAGTGAGTCTTGTTTGTTACTTTTTCAGTTACTTTGAATGAGTTGTTTTTTTGCTTTTTGTTTGAGTTGTTTTGTGTTTTCTTGAAGTCAAACTGCAGATTTCCTCCCCAACCACCCCGCCTCAGAAAAAAAAAAGAAGAAAAACACAGAAAAAGAACAGAAAAATAAAACTCAACTCCCGACTCAGCCTCAAACTCAAGTGGGGGGATCGAGTTCAAGGCCAAGTCTTTTCTGAGTTGTGTTTGAGTCCTTTCCGAGTTGAAGATTGAGTTGTTTTTCTGTCGTTTTTGAGTCGTCCCTGGTATTGTTTTTGTGTTTTCTGTGTTTGTTTTCAGTCTGTGTTTTAGTTGAGTTGTTTGGCTGAGTTGTTTGGCTGAGTTGTTTGGCTGAGTTGTTTTTGAGTTTTGCTTGAGTTTTGTTTAGTTCTGTTGAAACCCCTCCTGTCTGAGCTCGCCTGGTCATAATCTTAGCAGACCTGAGTTGCCCCGAGTGGCCTCCCCGCTGACGGAGGGACTCCACAGCCCAAACCGCAAAGCTTTGTGAAGCCCCTTTTATATACCTAGGCGGTAAAGAACAAACTTCCTAAACTAGGTCTACCAAAAACGAGGTAAAAGAGAGGGCACTGCTGGGGGACTAGGTCCACAGCCCAAACCCCAAAGCCTTCTAAAGCCACTTTGATATGATATACCCCTGTCAAGAACAAACTTCCTGGAAGGCAAACCCTCTTTCCCTGCCAGGGCGCATGCGCTGGCCCAGGTGCAGCAAGTCGCTGACCACTGCTGGCACCAGCGCCCGCAGGCGCCTCGATCCGCTCGATCCGCTCGATCCGCTCGATCCGACGTGAGAGACATGCCCCAGGCGGAATTCAGGGCTCCTACTGTGGATGGTTGCAAAATCCCTTTCGCACCAAGAAACCCAACGGAATGATGATTCCCTGTAAATACCAACGGACGATGGTTTGCCATGGTTTCAAAGTGGTGCAGGAGTTCGTCCACCCACAAATTTGCCAACTTTCGCTGAACCTGAAATTAAGTCTTCTCTGAGCTCATCATTTTCAATTGGAAGAATTTAAGATGCTGGTGCGAACCCAGAATTAGGGGTCTGGAAACCATGAATCCAACCCCTGTTGGCTTCCTTTTGGGCATCATAAAAACGGCGGGCCGCTTAACACCAGCGAAAATGCGAAAGGTGCGAGAAGCTCAAGCTTCGGAATTTGAGCATATAATCCGAGGAAACAGCATCCTACGTCACACTCAGGACACACAGGTCGTATTTGGCGTTTTCATCGCAGCCATCACTCGACATCCTCAACCCTCGGTTGCTTTCTGCTCCCCTGCCAAAAGTTTAACTTTTAGCGGTTTACTGGAAAACCCATCGGTTGGCAAAAAGTTCAAGTTCTAACATCCCTTGGCAAAATGCACCAATCAACCTGCGAGGGCGCCAACGTGGCACACAGCTTGGCCGACGGATCTTCCGGTGAAAAAAACAAACTAGTTTGGGGGTTGATGAAAAGGTCCTGTGTGTGGGATCAGGGACACCACGAAAAGAGGGCGTTTGGTCCTGGCGTGGTGGTCCGAAAAAGAGTCCTGGGTTCACAATGGGTTCGTAAAGGATCGTATCATGGCTGAGCTTTGACCCCGGGTTCGTCATAGGAAATGTAGGCATGCCCAGGCGTTTGAGGAAACAACCAAAAGGAGCACCACCATGTTTGTTTACTACTATTATTCATTATTATTGTTGTTTATTTTTTGTATATATATATATATATATTTAAGCACCCCTATGTATCCATTCACTGCCCTCATTTCCAAGGCGCACAGCGCCCGCCCGCAGGAAGGGGCGCCAGCATTTCAGGCTCTCAGCATGGCTCGAGCACTGCCTGACACCCCATAAAAAAGAGAGGCCCACAGCAAAGTCCCATGATTCTAGGGGTTGATTCCCCATTCTTTTCAACCATCCTTTTTTTCAACAACCAGCCGGTTTCCCTGGGTTTCTGAAGGTTCTCTAGAAAGAAGGACTCCTGGAAAGAATGGGGAAGGTACCATTAGAATGATTCCTCCAGTTGCCCAAAGGGCCCAGAAATAAAAGGCCAACCGACAATGAGTGCCAAAATAGGTCAAAAGGTCGGTTCGCCTTGGACGAATTGTTTTGCGCTCTACATCTTCACAATTTAGCCTCCCAGTGGATCGCGGTTTACCACTACAGTAGGGAACCAACAAGTGTCGTTTTGGTTCTTGGTTACCTACATAGACTTGGATACGCTAGTAAGTCTCCTTTCTTGCCAATCCCCACTAAAATAGACTAGAATGGGTGGGTCACCTACCCCAAAATGGTACCATTGGTTTTTGACCCACAGCCACCTAGATAGGCAAATTTAACTGGGTTGGAAATCAGTGGTAAGAGAAGATCCCAAGGTCCTCAGGACGGAAGTTCCACTTCAGCGAATGAAACCTGCGCAAAGTCCCTCCAAAACGCAAAGGGACTAAAACACGTGGCTAAAAGCATAGCCACACTTGTGAGACCCGTTTCTTTTGCTTGAGATGGCGCCTTAGTTCCACCTGCGAAGAAGTTCGCGGGTTCAAAGCCTCGTGTTGGCCTCCGGGACTCCTGGTTCGGGCCCCAACAAAGGGATTAGTTTTAATGTGACGCTCCCTCGAGGGTGCATCGTCATGAACCGGGCTGATCAACAAGCCAAATGGCGCTGGGCTTTAAAATGCCAAGAGTCGGCTCCAAAGAGTACAGGTCGGTGAAGGGAAAACTCTTACCATTGTCACCCACATCAGACTCCTCTACAATCCACTTGCACAGACCTAGACTTGCTGTGTCTATTCTTAGGGGACCCCCAAAATGGTTTGGTCTCCTGTTGGCTTCCCCTGAAAAAGCCGGCAAAAGACGCGGGGACCCCAACGAAAAGGCCCACCCTCACCTTCTTGGACTGGGATTCCGTGATCACCTTTTGGGACCAAGCAGAAAGCAAGGGGAACCGAAGCGGAAGCCAAGGGGAACTTGAGGGAAACCCATAAACATGGGAACCCAAAAAAACAAACCTGGACTGCCATGTGTTTGTTTTCTGCGCTAAAAGTGGACAACTAACTAACTGAGTGGCGTAGTAAACTATGTTTGCCAACCCTAACTATTCCAACTAAGTTACCGTGGATGGACGAAATCCATTTCGCACCACTTTGGAAACATGATTGAAACCATTGTTTGTGGGTATTTATGTTGGGGAATCGAATCATAGGGTTTCGCAAGGGTGGTGCGTTTGAAATGGATGGATTTCGACACCCGGAATGATGATTCCCTTGGAAATACCAACAAACAATGGCTTCTTCCCTTGGTTTGCTTATGTGGTGCGAAATGGATTTCGCAACCATCCACAGTATGTCCAACTCTAAAAAGGATCAGGTCGATTCGCTTAAGTGAGAGAAAAGCCCTTTCAGGTGCAAGGAGCTTGGGAAAAAAAGCAAAAACTGCTCGCGAAAAAGTGGTTCTCTTGCAGGTTGCGAACAATATGTGTCCTATTTGGAAAATAGATGGCCCTGGTAGATGATTGAATCACCAGGTAAACCAGGGCCAGAACAGTTTTGGAGCAAACCAACCAAAAAGGACACCTATGTTCCAAAGACTGGGCATTCGGTGAAACCAACCAGGATGTCTCCTATCGATCCGTTCACTTCATCTACCGCTTCAACAGGGGCAAGTTGGAAATGGGGGTGATCCAAAGGTCCGGTAAACATGAAGGCGATATGGTCTACTCATGGTCATTTGGGGGCCCTCAGTGGAATATTGATCAACCCCCAAATACCTGGAACCCCAAACTATAGGGAATTCCCCCCTGTATTTTTGGGGCAATTACCTATTTTGGAGGGTGTTTGGAGGGTCCAGGTAGGCGTATTCCTGCAAAAAGCAAACATGAAGAAACATAAAAGAGCCCTATGCCACTCAAAGAAACCCAATTCCCGCTTCAGCAAACTCTCCGGTGGCCTTTGGAACACATTTTAGGGGATGGTGCTTCAAACAAAAACCTCCAGCGTTGAACCCCAAAGGGTACCCTCAACGAACAACACACCTGGTTGGTCATGAAGCCCCATGGTTGTTTGCGATTTCCAGAAGCCACCGTCCCGCAGCTTTTTGCTACCGCCTTTGCCTCCCAAAGAGAATTCCTGGCAACCTTATTTAGTAAACCTCACAATGTAGCTGTAGCCGAACCCTCCAACTACCCTTCAAATCGAAGATCACCCCATGAATTTTTAAGGGTATTCCTCCATTTGCTTAAGACCCCTGGGAAAAATAAACATGTTTCCAGTAGTGATAGATTCCCGTTAAAACCAACAGGGGAGAATTAAAATCATATTCTAAAGCAAATGGAAGTAGTTCAACCCACATCCCTTGGCCCGGCTTCGGTATCGAAGCCGTTTCACGCCCGTCCGAGGTGCAGAAACTCGAGGACCTTCGGGGCGAAGCGATGCACCTCGTCACCCAAGATCTCCTCGAACCAACGAATTGTGGCCGTCAGGCCTTCCGACGCGGCACTTCGTGTGTATCTCTATATGTGCCTGCAGGTAATGTGTGTACATACATCTGTCTATATATATATATATATATATATGTTACACAAATCAAGCCATGCATATATATATATACATGTATATATATATATACTAGGTCCTCCAGTAGAGAGGTTAGAATAAGGATACCCCTTTTCCGGTAGTCTATTCTAGTAGGGGAACCCTCCCCCAAAAAAGGCACTACTGGGGGACCTAGTATATATGTACAATATATGTATAAATATATATTGTACAGATAAAGCCAGCCAATTTTCGGCCCACACACCTTTTGCTGGAACAACGAGGGTGGACATTGGTGCCTTCCCTACTCCATGTGTTTCCCCGCGAACGACACAAAACCTCTGTTGGGGGACCTCACAAACCAACTGGCAACCAAAGAAGATGTTCACAAACCAGGCTTAGTTGCCCAAAGGACCCAGAACTAAAAGGTGATCACCTTTTGGCACCTCTACCAAAAATGGACCAAAATGGGAACACCGAAAGGTCAGATCCGGTCGATTCGCTTTGGACAACTGAGCAGGGAAGTATCGGGACTATAGAACTGGCATTGCGAATCGCTCCAGCAGCAGCGCGGCAGAGCGGAAGAAGCGACCATGGTCCAGAGCCTGGATCACATGAGCCAACAAACATGAGGGTCTGTCCCCTGTTTTTTGGGGAACCCGTTTTTGGTTGGTTCTAACGGAACACCAAAAGGAAAACCACGTTGTTTTGGGGGGAAGGTCCCCGGCAAAAGACACACACATTCCCCCCAACTTGCCTGTACTTTGCCATGTCCAAAACCTGGCATTCAACTGGTGTACCCAAAAGCACCTGCTTATGATTAGGACCATGCCTCAACCTTCATCCAGCTGGATTTGGAGGATGGGATCAGTGTCCACATTAAATCAATCGAATCATGAGTCACATGTGTTCAGAACTCCGCCAGCGTAAGGCAAATTGAGAAACATGTTTCACCCAAAATTCCAGTTCGAAGCAATTTAGCCAGAGGATGCTCCCGAACAGGCGTAGGTGGCTTTGTTTTAGGCCCTGATTGTACGTAAACGCGCGCTCAACGCGCGGCTACCCCCACTGGAATATCGCATTCATGCTCGTTTTTATACACGTTTTCATAGGGTTTGCTGCCAGAGGCCCAGGGGGGGTTTGTTGCGGGGGGGGGGTTCGGGGGGCGGGGGGGGTTCGGGTTTGGGGGGGTTTCGGGGGGGTTCGGGGGGTGTTATAATACCGTTCAGGACAACTTGCGTGTTTGCATGCGCCATGTTGACCTGAGTTCAAGATCGCTTGACATAAAGGGTTCTTACACATGATCAGCATGCAAGCGAATCACGCTGTTTGATTTCTACATGTCCTTGCATCAAGTGCACCATGGCTTGTTTCGTCCGTGGGCTGGAACTGCACTGGACAATTATGCCCAGTTCGTGATGCAGCTGCCGGGTCAATGAGTGGTGCCCACTCACCGAGATTCATCAAGCCGCATCCGTGCTGGCTTGCACAGCCAATATCTCTGAAGAACATTTAGGCAGCTTGGCCTCGTTGAACGTGATCGAATTCAAAACTCATGTTCGCATTCCGCTGAGCTCATGCGCTCTCGCGCCAGTGACGCCGCGCCCATACCCGCTGCTTGTCCGTTAGAAAGATTTTTCCTTGCTGTGCGATGTTAGACTGCCGCTTAATGTAAACGGCCCTGCCCACCTAGTGGACTTGCTTAAGCGCCGCGAGGCGGTGGGCAGGGACCATGTTTTCGGGGAACCCCCTAATAATAATGGTCCCACGCGGTGATGATAGGCGAGAGAATGTTGCTGCCGTGCCATGTGTTGAAATAGCTTGAACATGTGTGTTGGCCATGCAGGATTATTAATCTTTTTTGTGTGTTGGCCATGGACGCTCATGTAGATCAGTTGTCGGCCATGCGCTTGCTGGAAGCACCTGGTCTCCAGAACTTGCTTGAAGCCTGCGCCTTGCTGCGGAAATCTAGGTGCAGCAAGTTAGGCTGTGCTCCGAAACGCTACATGGACCTAAGCCAAGACAAAGCCTGGCTATGGGATTAGGTATGAAAACGGGGGTGAAAAAGACCATGGCGGCTGCCTGCCAAGGGGATTCACACATCCTGGGGCGCGCGTTTACGGCCAATCGGCGCGTTGTTTTAGGGTACGTGCGGGGTGTAAGGGTGTTGCGTGATTGCTTGCTTGCTTTGCCTTGCTCGCATTCCAGGACTGGGGAAAAATGTAGTGCGACAAAAAAAAAACTTAAAGGCACCCTTCCTCCAATTTCAAGAGTTTTAGAGCAACGCGTTCAGCTGTCCTTTTGAGAGCAAAGATGCCACTGGTTGATCAAACTGAACCCAGCGGAATCCATCTTTCTTCAACCAAGCCGTTGACTTTTGGTTCTAAGGCGGGTACAAAGGTTTCCGTAGGCCTAACTATAACCGCCTCTTTGGAACGAAGAACGAAACACCTACCTAGACCCTTAAAACACCCTCAAACATGGGTCATTGTACTTTTCCAGCCACTTTACCCACAAATAGCGCACAACTTGGCAAAAGTAGCTGGAAAATAAGGGCAACTCGGGATCCGAATATTTTTTGAGGGTCCAGGTACTAAAATCAACTTCGCATCGGTCGCATGGCCGGGCCTGAGATGGATCTTTCATGAGATGGTGATACTCCTTGCGCAAACCGCCCGCTCTCGGCGCTGGCGACGGCGACGGATTGCGAGCGTTACCTTCCTTGCTTAAGCCCCCAGGATGTATTTTTTTTGTCCAGTAGTGATACATTCCCTTTAAAACCAACAAGGGAAAGTCAAACATGTTCTTAAGCAAATGGAAGGTTCCCATTTAAAATTCTAGGCCGAGATCTGCGAACATCGGAGGCATGAACTCCGGAGGTTTTGAAATAGAGTTGCCTTGGATCTTCGCATGCAGAGTACGTCCCAAGTGACCACTTGAAGGGGTACTCAACATGAACTGCTGGAGGTAATCTCCATTTTTCTCCGCGCAAAGGGAAGTTTCGAGGATGTGACCTAAATGGAGCAAGTGCCCTCTCAACATTCTGGAAGTGGGCGGGGGGCCCGAAATAAATATTGTTGTTCAAACCCCTCCTGTGAGCAATTACGCGAGTTCTCCGCGTATCTCCGCAAGGGCATACCCCTTACCCCCAATACCAACTTGTTTGAGGGTATCATCTCAAAACAAAGGATGCATTTGCCGCGAAAAACCAGGTTTTCCAACAAATACCCCTACAAAAGGGACAATCGGAGAAGGGGCCCGGTACTTTCATCTTCACGCAGGCAATGGCATGGTTCATTTGGGGTCTTTCATCCTCGAACTCCAAGCCAACGCAAGGGGCATGTCGAAAGGTGGGTTCACCTGGTATCGCAAGTGGACGCTCAGAAGCCCAGATGCGAACCAAGAGCAGCTTTTTTGTTGGTTCACTAGGGAAACCCTCCCCAGGAGAAAGGAAAGACGTTTGGCACTGGGCCAAGGACATTCCACTTTCCTCAAAAAAAACATCAGTCACCACGCTGCCCACACGTCCAGCTTCAAATTGGTATGCCCGAAGAAAAGGAAATGCTTCCGCCCAAATTGGGTGTTCAATGTTTCACCCAAATGCTGAAGTTCAGGACAACTTTGGCCAAATCTCTAAGGGTTCTGCATCAATTTGCTTGAGCTGCTTCTTCTCCTCACTGGCTGAGTGGATGGCCCAAAAAAAGTCCAAACTTTATATTTACCACTAACATGGTCTTTCCAAAAAGTTCAAAGATCATGAACTCAGGAGGTGAGTCTCCTTTGGGTTTAAACCCCTTCAAGGCAAACCGCGGGGTTGCTCCGGAGACACCTAGATCCCCAGTTTGCCCTTATTTTCCAGCTGCTTTTGCCAAACTACGGGCTAGTGGGTATAGTGGTTGCAAAAAAAGTAGCTACTTGGAGTTCCAGGTAAGCTTTTGCAGCTTCAATGGAGCCAGTGGCTCTATGGTGTTCGTTTGTGGTTGAAGCCTGATTCGGACCTTCGCTTCAGAGGATCGCTAACTTATGCCGCAACTTCGAAAGAAAGTCCTTGTCATATTTCGAGGAACCCGTTTTGGGGTTAGGAAACCGCAAGGAAACCACTAATTCTTGGGGAATCCCCGATTTTGAGAGCCCAAATGAGTCATAGTCACAATCCAACCCGGTATTGAAATGGTCGATCCCCAGAAACATGCTTCAAGAATTGAGAAGGCGGATTTCCGCAGCTGTCTATGGCTGGGAGTATCCCTTAACCTCCATCTACCCGGGTTTTGATTGTGGTTTTGCTGGCGCGATAGGTATAGGATTTTTACGGGTTTGGGGAATAAACCGGAAGGGGATTCCCTTCCTGGAAACCATGAAGATTGTTTATACCTAGAGTCTCCATGACCCCTAGAACAAGGGTCACAGCCCCTTAATTTTGGGTAGTGACCCCATTTTTAAAGGGTCATGGAGACTCCATTCCGTCATTCTCTGCTGAGAACCACCAAGTTGGGGAAGGCTTGAAGGGGCAGGGGGGTGCCTTGACAAACTCGTCTTCCGAGCGCCGTCCGCATTACTTCCACGCTTCTCCTTCAGTGCTTCTGTGTTGGCCTTGGACCTATGTTACCACCCACCTACACGCACACACAAACGCACAAACGCATGTCACCAGCCCCACCCTACCGCATCTCGATAGGAGAGGTCGAAACAAGCTTGATGGCCAGTGAAGCCTTATGGCAATCAAATATTTCCCCCGTCTGTGGGAAAGCCGCGAGCCGTCCTGCCACTTGGGGTTTTCCTGGCGCTCGGATGCGACGATCTGCAAAATGTCCAAGGCGTGCAGAAAGCCCCGCTCTGCCAGGCCCAGTGCTTCGGAGCTGACGCCTCCGCTTCGGCGCTTGGGCGCTTGGGCGCTTCGACGTCCCGGCCCGGTGCGTCCTTTTGCCCCCCGCTCCCACCCACCCCGCTGGGGCATGTGTTTGGACCTGATTGAACATGTTTCAGCCCCTATTGTTTACAAAGCGTGGTTTTGGGTTCCCTTTAAAGGGTCCATGTCCTGGTGACTTAAACCAATTTTGCCCAAACCGTGCCCGCGGTCCAAGTCATTCCCAATCACGTGCACCTGCCCGGGAGGCTTCGTTCACGTCGATGACGCTCTTGTCGCCCTTTCGGCGCTTCTTGTCGGCGGGAGCTTCCGGCGCAGAACGCTTCTTGTCCTCGAACCAAAAGCGAGGCTCAAGGTGGAAACTCGCCCTATGCACGGAGACACCCCCTGAATGGATGAAGCACTGTGAGTACTGGGGTATCCACCACTAGGTGCATGAAAATGGTGTCGATCAGTACCAAACTGGTTCATCTCCAACTTCGTCACCAAGGGGGGGTTTTGTTGGTGTCACCAGTTCGTGGCCTTGGCCAATCTTTCACAATCAAAGAGGAGCTGTACGCGTCTTTCCCAAGCTGCAAGGGAGACGCAAGGACCCCGACCTCCGCTGGCTGGGGCAAAGCAGAGAAATGTGGTTTTCAGAAATGGACTCCCAGGGGTCAAACTCCCTTCCAGGTCCATGTACCTTCAATCTGCTTTTTCGTCTGGAAAAAGTACCAACTTATTCCGGTGAAATCGGTTCTCATTAAAACCAACCAGGGAAACAAACATACTACTCAATCTACGCAAATGAGCCGCTTTTTTGTGCGGGGCAGTAAACACTGGAAGCCCATGGCCCACCGTGCCAAAAACCCCGATCCTCCTTTCGGCTGCATCGAAACAAAACGAAACCAACGCTGCTCAAATGGAAGAGGTGAAAGCTAAAAGCTCGGCCGCTGGAACAGGATCTGCACATGAATCGTGTCAGCTGCGAGCAACCTGAACACAAGCACGTCGATGGGTTCTTTGCGAGCACCGCAAATCCCGGGGAAATTTTGGTGGGTTGATCCAACAAGGGGCCATGTGCTTGACAACCCTGCACAGATGCACTGATGGACGAAATCACAACGATCCAATTGATGGGCATACCGCAAGAATCACGAGCTTTATCCATCCCGTCCATCCACAGTATTACCCCCCACATTTGAACAGGTAGAATGCCTTGTAGAGGTAACCAGGACTGTTGACCAGGTTTTACCCGAGCCGATATGGGTTGCCGCTCATATATGGTCCGGTGTCCCTTTCCGTTTTTTTTTTTTTAAATCACCCCAAAAGGCAAGAAAAGACACGCCTGGACGCGGAAAAAGTCCGGTTCCTGCCCCAAGATGATGGGGGTGAATTCGCTCTTTTCTGGGTTTGAGGGCCCAGGCACACATCTCATTCGAGCAAATGCGACTCTCAATGGACGCAAAAATCTCCTGACGGCCGCGCAAAACCTGGCCAAGCGGTGTGGCTGATGCGTTGGTTGTAGATCTCCGACGCAAGTCGGTGGCTTTGGTGGTGAGGGGGTGGCTGGGGGGACTCTCTTCATTCTTCAAAAGGAACTATAGGCTTCAACCCACCCACCCACCCCCCCCCCCAAAAAAAAAAGAAGAAGAGCCACACACACACACATGTCAGAATCTCAGCACATGCCTAAATGTGCGGCTTGACTGTTCGGGCGTTGGAACAACTCGATAGGCAAAGCGGCTGGAACATGTTCAAAAAAACTAAACCAGCAGACTTCTTTTTTGACTTTGCTGACCGAAAAGGATGCTTACACTTTTTCAGGCTAACAGCTGGAAGCTTTTGTTAAATTTGCTGACTAGACCGAAAAGGACGCTTACACTTTTTCAGGCTAACAGCCGGAAGCTCCCCCAATTGGCCGCTGCAAATGGAACCAAGTCTTATCAAGGGGTGGGATCCATCCTCCAAAGGTCATCATGCCTTCGAAGTAGTGTTAATGCTATAATATTGGTTTCATTGCTCAGAGTCTTCATCATCCCAGAGGTCACTCAGAGCCATGGAATCGTCTGGGGGACGCCGACGCAAAACGCGTCAACCCCGCAGCAAAAAACACATGACGCAAAAAAAAAAAAAGAGAGAAAAACCCAAAAAAAACAAAAAAAAAAAAAACGCGCCTCCGCAATGCGGTCGAGCGTGGCAGAGGCATGGCGCAAAGCGGCATCTGGAGACCTGCGCGCTGCTGCTGCAACTTTTGGGTGACTAAAGGAAGTTGAGGAAACATTAGTTATAAGCAAAGGTGGGAGCAAAGCCCGATTCCTCTTCTTTCTCTTTCTCTCTCTCTTCACTTTTCTCCTTTCCCTTTCTCCTTCTGGTCTTCTATATCCGCCTGTCTGTCTATCTATGCGCTGCTAGCTGGCCTATGAACCGGCCAGCAGAGGGTTCACTTTTCGATCGTGGCGCGAAATGAAAATCGCGCCAGCTTTTTCAGGTCGACCCACCGAGCTGAACAACGCACGACCCAGTCAAAGCCCGTACAAGGCTCCGCGAGCGAAGTGAGAAAAAGGCAACAAACAAAAGCGAGGTTGTGAGGGTCGACATGAGTCGACCCACATTCTCGGTGAATTATAATATTTCACCAACCTGAAATAAGGTGATTGGGGGCCATTCCTCACATAAACCACCATTTGGTGAGGTCGCCTGAGGTCGTTAGAATTCACCCAGACCCATTGCAAGGTCGCAAAGGGTTCACCGATCGAGGGCTTCGAAGCCCTGCGCGGGGCCGTGCCACAAGACCCTTCCAAGACGCCAGGCGTCGCTCGCGCGGTGGCTCGCGCACGAAGAAGCAGAGCCGAATTTACTCAGGGCCAGCGTGTCTAACGCGAATGCGTGTCTAGCAGAGCTAACCTCGATTACTTCCAGTAGAACGGATCTTTCTAGTTTGACTCCCTTTGTGGGACAACGAGAAAATTGGAAAACTACCGTGGTAACAGTGATAAAACTAGTTTGAGCATCAAGATCATCAAGCCTAAGCACCCAAGGGGACCGCCAAAACATTTGGAACGCACCTCAGGGAAAGCCAAGGGACACCTATACTAACCTAGCCATTTTGTCCACGTTTGGAACATGGGTTCATAGAAACCAGCTACAGGAGAAATATTACAGGAAGTTCTCCAAATACCCACCAAAATCAGCGATTTCCTCTAGAACTTCCTATAGTTAGTTTCTTAGATGGGTAGATTTTCCTGGTGGATAAGCAGATCAACCAGGGCCATCGATGTTCCTTCCAACCTTGCCAAAGGACAGCCATGCATATGGGTCAAAACTAAGCCACTAGAAGACAGCAGGTCTAGTCCTGACTTTCGTTTACCAGGGTTCCATTTTGGGCACACATGTTTGACCCACAGCCATGTGTGATTGTCTTTTCAAGGCTTGCAACTGGAAACTCCTCTTGTCACGGGGTGCCTCCAGTCAAGATGCGAGTTCTGTCTGCAGTAAGAACGCCTTTTTGGGGCATGTCCATTGGTGCAAAAGGCAACACTTGCGTCTTTCTTAGGGGTCCCCCTAAGATACCTTCGGTGGTCCTTTTGGTTTGCCTTAAAACCACCAGACAAGGAGCACGCAAACAACACACCCAAGTAGTGTCCATAGTTGCCCCCTTCAGCACGTGAAACACACCTTGGGTAAGATCCCGTTGGCGCCCGAAACGTTTGCCACCCATGCGCCGACGAATAACGACTCCACCTTTCAAAAGACAACGCTAACCAAAAAACGCGTCACCCGGGTCTGACCTTTGGACCCACCGGAATTGGGGCGATTGCTTTCGGCAACCGACAGGGAAACCATTTTAACGGGGTCGCCATTTTGAGACTACCTTAAGTGGAATCAGTGTGAATTCTAAAAAAGAACGGGAAACACAGGGATCCTTACATTATACACCTGATCATTGCAACTTGTAAATGGTGGTTTCCCTTTATTTTGGTATTGAAACAGCCATGTTTCAAGTGGGCAAAATGTATTTAAGGAGCCCTGCGAAAAAGGCCTTGAACTGGAGTTCCAGAGGATGCGCACCAGGACCTTGCCCAAGTTGGCATCGTAGAGACTGTTCATGGTGACCTATCACAATGTGATGTGTCACACTAGGGAACCTTAACAGGTGGTTCCTTTGATTTCCCTCTACACCAACTCCAGAAAGGGCAGCCTCAGAAAAAAAGAAAAAGACACACCCATTTGAAGAAAAGCGGCTGCGGATGGACCATTTCACACCAGTTGGTAGGTGTTTATCTTAGTATTCATGGGGGTCCTTAAATCCCAACTGGTTTGTCCAACAGTATGGCAAAGATCGGGATCTGTTCGACCATATTTGCTTCCCGGGCACCCGTGTACCCCTCATGTGTACTGCCTACTCATTCTTTCTTCCGACATTTCGTTGCGACCACGTTTCCGCGACGCCGAACAACCAAGCGGATACATCTCCCCGACACGGCGTGCCGCGATGACCATTTTAGCTGCTCCCATCTGTTGCTCCCATCTGTTGCGGGCTGTAGTTGCCATGGTCAAATGTCCGCATGATGGCAGAATACAACTGTCACACCTGCTTTGTGCAGATTCTAGGTCATGGCTGATCCACTATCTAATGTCATGCATCCAAAACCGGGCCTGGCCTTTTGCCGTAGAAGCAAGCCCCAGGATTAAAACTTAAGCTAAGCAAACCTGTGCAAATGGAAAACAAGTGGCTTGCAAACAAGATATCGAGTGACTTACCCTTGAGTAAACAGGCTGCGGTAGTCGGCAGCTGTATATGGCATAAACAATTCACCAAAACAATTGGGCATCTTGCGGAATCTGGATTCCTTCATGTCGGCCAAGAGGATCTCATGATACTTTAGCATGTGGAGTTGCCAAATGCAGGCGCGCGAAGACATGGGTGGCATCCAGGAACGCTTCCAGGCTTTCTCCTTTTCAATGACCTTCTCCATGGCACCGGGTGATGGAATTTTCAGCTCGCCTTTCAGCATCTTGGATAGCCACTTTGCCTGCCTCACTGGCTGAGTGGATGGCCCCACAAAAAGTCCAAACTTTATATTCCACACTAAAATGGTCTTTCCAAAAAGTTTAAAGTTCATGAACTCAGGAAGTGAGCTGCATGGCATGCGTCAAGATGTTGTTGAAGGTCGAAACCTCGGAGCCGATGAAGGCGAGATCCGGCACCTGCGGAGGGAGGATGTTGCGGTAGAGATACAAGCCGTCCTTCTGGATCGACAGCCTCTCCTGGACAACCTCATTTGCACGTGTTTGCAGCAGGGAAAAGAGAGAAGCCGGGGAAAACGCTTTTCTGGGTAGGTGGATACGGGAAACCCCTCCGAACAAGAAGGACCACAAAAAGCGAGAAGGGCAACTTGGATGTCTGGGAGGACCTGCCCCTTGTGAAAAGAACAGATGGTTAAGCAATTGTTGTAAAAGCCACCTCTTGTTGGTTTCACTAGGGCGAGGGTCCACTTCGGAATTCGATCGGGGTCTGGTTGTTGCACATTTTGTGCAATTTTGGTTTCGCATCTTTTTCCTTGGTTGGGTTCAACCCCAAAAGGGTCTGTTTGGTGGGTTTCCATGCACACTTTCTGAAGGGTTGCTTGAGGAGGCGTCTCAAAATCGTGGCCCCCT